TAAAATATCTGAAGAACACTGGACTATCAGATTGAATAATTTTCCTCACTCATGATTCACAATTGGTATAGGACAAGGGTCTCCAACCTTTTTCCTCCAGTGAGCGACTTTTACAAAACGAAAATACCAATGAGCTACTTACAGCGATCACAAGAAATTAAGTAAATATAAGAGTCAGTGCAAGCCTTAGATGAAGTACAGTTCAATGCCTATGAAACAAACCATTGTCCATTTATTAGAGTACAAATTTAGAAATCAAAATGATACAAATACAATGGTAATAGACATTAAATTAATCAAATTGTACTTATTCAGCACAATACGTGTAATTAAGAAGTCTTTTGGCGAGTTACTTGGAAGGGGATGGAGAGCTACTGGTAGCTCCCGAACTACAGGAGACCCCTGGTGTAGGAAATTGGCTTCAGTACCCAATAGTCCGTACAGTAGTATTCATTTAACTGCATTTTGTTCTTTATTATTTTATTTTGTTCAAGGTTTATTACAGTTTTCTCCAAAATGTGATGTGCTGATTGCCACTTGAGACATCTCCAGATCTTTGAAAATAAATAGTCCTATATATGCAAAATTGGCTCTTGTTAGAATGTTTTTACCTTCTGAAAAACATACCTGGAGTTGTGTTTCTGTCTGTCTACATCTCCAGAGCTCAAAATGCTCTGTTCCACCTTGTGATGTCATGTAGCAGTACCCTGTTTTCTGGACGACAAGTCACTCTGGAGTATAAGTCGCACCAGCCAAAAAAAAAAAAAAAAACAATGAACAAGAAAAAAACATATATAAGTCTTATTTTTGGAGGGAAATTAATTTTACAAAATGGCTTTGAAGTCTGCTGGCAGTTTTTTGGATATCGTTGTTCGTGCTCTGATGAGAGGCGGTTGTGTTGCATGAAGCGGCAACACCAAGAAGGTCCTCCGGCAAAGTCATTTATATTCATCGCCTTGGCAACTATCTGGGCGTGGAGAAGTAACTGCACCGTTGACAAGCCTCTCCCGGGAGCACGCTGTTCAAGCACCCGTTTGTGTACTTGTTTACTCTAGCTGTGGCCATCTAGCTTTTAGCACGCGATTACCCTTTTTTTTTAATTGCAGTTAGAGTTTCCTCCACTTTTCGCCAGTACTTCACAAGTTTCTCGCTCACTCCAGACTCTTTCTGCTGCTCGATTACTGTTTTCGGCTGCAGCTTGTAAACTGCAGACTATGATTTTCTTTTTGAGGGCATTTGTGTTCAGTTTTCTCAGTTGTCTTTATGAGTTGATGTTTAATTTTAAGTTTTCAGTGGTGCAGGAGTAGCAGATCCTGGCACACAAGCCTAGAGCGTCCTCTTTCAGTGTGAAAATAACAAACATGTGAAATTATATATTTTAATATATAAGTCGCACCAGAGTATAAGAAGCAGGACCACCCAAACCATGAAAAAAGTGTGACATAGGCTACGTTCAGACTGCAGCCTGAAGTGACCCAAATCTGTTTTTTTGGCCTCTATATGACCTGTTTCTGATCTTTTAATGACAGTCTGAACGACACAGATCCGATATTTTCAAATGCGACCCAGGCCACTTCGATATGTGGTCCTAAAACTGATACATATCCAATCTTTTGACATGCGACTTCAGTCTGAACGGCCAAAGCACATTCATCCTACCTGCACGTTATCAACAAGCCACAAACTTCACTATTCTGCCCTGAAGTAGGCGAAAATTGTTAATGAACTCCATGTCACTGAAGCGAAGCACATCGCCACTCACCACTCTTGGCTACGTCTCCACATCCACACGTTCCTTTCAATGGACGTCGGTGCCGCTGTCCCACAAAACACCACGGTCAAAAACCTTGTTCTTCTCCTTCTCAATCTCCTCCTTAAAACAAGTAAGTTGTTCATGTTCTTGCTCTGGTACAAGATGCTCCATGTTTGGACAACTCCCGTAAACACAGAGCACGCTCACTGTGGATGACGTCATCGTGTCCTCCAGTGCTCATTCGGGTCACTTTTGGACCGTTTAATGTTCACACTGGAGTCACATACAAGTCGCATTTAATTGGAAATGTGAACGACCTCGCAAAAACATCGGATTTCACAAAAAAAATCCAAATTGAGCATTAAGCCCTGCAGTCTGAACGTAGCCTTACTGTCCAAAAAATACAATAGTTTTCAAGGGGAACAGCTATTCCAGGGCTGGAATGATCCAAATGATTCTAGTGAAAGTGTATGGAGTTTAAAAACGTAGTGCAGAACTTCCTGTATCTCTGAGTGTTTTCCGTTTGAGAGAAGAACTCAGCCTACATACAGGATTTGTGTGTTTAACATGAGCGAATGAAACAAAACACAACTCCAGGTCTGTTTGTGATGAGGAAACATTATAACATAGATCATAAAATAGCACGATAAAGGCCCTTTAATGCACAGTATGATATAGAACAAACACACACACACACTTCTGATCTATATTTGGAACATCTCTGGTATGGGAAACATATTAAAGTTCCTCTGGGATATTTGAGGTGCTAACTGGACCTGCTGCATTTTGTGTTAACCGTGAGAACACAATGGCTGCTGTGGCTGTAGTGATGCAGTTTCCAGGCTCCGAGTCGCACAGGGGCCGAGATCTGGGAACATTGTTGTGAGTCCTACAGGATGTCCTGAGCAGGAAGTGCGCGCTCGGCTTGCAGGCTTCAGGCTTTCACCAATGGGAAGGTGCATTTTTGGAAAAGGCTGGGACCGCTGTGCAACTATGTCTCCTGGATAAGCACATCGTGGGAGATTGTAACTTGAATTTGGATACTTTTGCAGTTTATATCCGATGTCAAGATATGAAGAAGAGATTGCGAGCGAGGAAGTAGCGACTGATAAATGTTTTGACCAGAAATTCCCCTTTTGGCAGAGGATACTGTATTTTTTCAGACTTTTTTTTTCAGCTTTCACATGACTGATCTAAACTTGAAGATATAAAAGTGATCTGGAAAGCGGTGACCAAGATTATACGATGCGTCTGACCACAAGTGACTTTTTATACTTTTGCATAAACAGAAATTTTGGTTTTGCAAAAATCATGAAGAAATTACGTTTTGGAAAACAGTCGAAAACAACAAATTTGACATCTTGGATTATAAATGCAAGGATTTTGGATGTTTAAACTTTTATATCAACGTGAAAAAATGGAGCGAATGCCAATCCGGACAGCACTATGCACTTCGGTTACGAGGGGGTGTGTCCAATTTGGACAAAAGTGACAAAAAAGTTACAATTTTGTCTAGAAATTAATTTTATATATAAATTCACTCAAATCTTGTCAATGTTGGATTTTACATTTTTGTTTTTTGACATGTTGATATGAAGAAGAGATTGAAATCAAGGAGTGACCAACAAGTACACATTTTTCACATTTTTAACTAGCTTCACCTTCATTTTTTTTTTTTTTTTTACGTTGGATTTAATATTTCAATTTTTGTCGTCAACATGAACTCATGAAAAAAACTGCAACTGCAATCCGGAAACCAGTGGCCTATGTGAAAGCGGATATTTTTACTTCGAGCCCCTTGGAAGTCGAGGTAAGTTTTGAACGTTTTTTTAACATTGCAAGCCGCTCAACTCAAGCTGCGCAAGTGCTTCCTGTGGTAGTCAGACAGGAAGTACTCCGTTCACTTCGATTTTCACTGCTGCAACTTTGGTTCCTCAGATTGCCTGTCCTCCTCCTGCTGACTGTACTATTTCTTGAAAAAGAGGAACTATATTTTCATTTTCTCTGAAGATTTTAACAGCTTAACTTGTCGGGTTTTTCTACAATATTAAAATGACCGAAATCTGGCGGTTTTAAGATCTCTCGATGAAATGGATATGAGCGACTGACGAGCGACAGTGGAAGAGAGATTACGCAAAGGATTTCAACACGTTTACGAATGAAAATGCGTGGATTATTTTGGCTTTGATCAGTCAATAGCCGAAGCTTCAAGAGACGAGAACGTAATCCCGGAGATATTATTTGTTTGGAAGGCGATTTTCTCAAACACATGTCATTACACCACTGTTTATCCAGATTGTAAGGCTTTGTTTTTTAATCTTTTAATTATGTGCTTTTGCTGTGGTTCAGAAGCCCCTCAACTATTTTCTTTTGTGCATGCAATGTACTACAAACCTTGAAGTGAAATATTACTACTTAAAGTGGTTCAGCAAAATTAATCCAGATGTGTACTGTAGTGTTGTCACGATACTAAGGAATAGACTTGTACTAAGGTTTCGATTGTACTTTTGATATCATTTAGTGTCTGATTTTCTATACTTTTGACAAATCCTAGTGTATTGTTACTCAAACTTCTCAAAATCTTGCTCAACCTTTAATGTACTGGTGTAATTTTGCAGTAAAAGCTCCACAGTATGGCTTTAAACTTGTCCATTTTGCATTCATTACCGTTAATGGCTCAGAATTCCCTTGAAAAACACGTAATTTAGCTGGGAGAAAGCTCGCCTTTCCACAGATGTGACCTGTAACTTGGCCTCCTGGCACCAACAGCTTGTATCCTTGTAAGCAGAGTAGGTTAATGCTGTACTGTGGAACTTTAATAACAGGATCTCCATGGAAACAACCAGATGGTGTAACATAGTGCATCTTTAAAGCACATTTACGGAGCATTTCCTTTGAATACTTTTGTCAAGATTGGTAGATTACTGTTGTCATAGTAACAGCAGCATTATTAGAAATTATTGCAGTACTACTAATAAATAAATAAATACTACCTTTTAGGTACTTTCTCTACTGTCTGTAACTGTATTGCGTAAAATTAGAAAAACTGCATCGAAGACATTTTGTTCCTCATCCAAAAGTGTCATGTTTTTGCTTTTTATTTACATATTGTCACTTGGATGAATGCAAATTTCAACACCAGCTCTATTGTTTAATGAAATGATTGTCTTTGTCCATAACTACTGTTGTTTTAGCACTAGTTACCGGCACCGTGTTCTAATAGTTGTATTTTTATCACTCTCCACAGGCATCAACTTTAAGGAAGTGACCCAAGAGAACCGAAAAGCTGTGTTTTCTGAGATACACGCATCCATTGACACGTTGGCATTCACTTTCGGCAATGTGTGAGTAGCACAATACTTTTCACCACCACTCGTGCCCGTTTTAGCTCGTGACTTCATCAAATAAATCCTCGAAAACTAGCCCTGTCGACTGAACACTCATATCTGTTTTCCTGTTTGCTTTGCCAGATAATAGTGCTTTTCTTTCTGCTTCATAAATCCTAAAGTGCCGCTTGTTGTATTGTTTTTGCAGAGTTTCTGACTTCCTTATGGGAGATGTGGACAGTGGATCAGGGTTGGGGATCCCCCAGGCCAGGAGAACCAGGGTAAGAAGAGCCCACACACAGAAATATAAACATCATACAGTATAACACATTCATAGATACTCAAATACTTGCAAAGATGTCACAAAATCTAGTGTTTGTTTTTCATTTGATTGATTTGATTTAGATTTTATCAGTACAGAAACTTTACGCTTTTACAATTCTTAAACAGCAGTGAAATCCTTAAAGGCCCTATATTACACAAAATTGACTCTTGTTATCTTTAAATCATGTTATATGTAACTTCTTCAAAAACATAGCTGGAGTTATGGGTTGTTTCTGTCACGTGGAAACAAAGGGATGACCCAAAATGCAGGACTGCTTTAAAGTTCTTCAATAACAAACATAAAAAGATCCAAAAAAAATCCATAAAATACAAGGACAAGACACTGACAATGACAAATATAATGGATCAAGAAAGGCCAGGAGGGGAACACAAGGGTATAAATGCACACAGACACAGGTGACACAGACACATCAGGGCGGGGCAAACTATCAAGACAGAAAGTACAACTCAAAACTACAGGAAAATTTCAAAATAAAAGGACACTCAACACCAAAGGAAAAAGATACACCAAAATAAGCAAAAACAACCACTACAGAACATGAACCATGACAGCTTCATTCACACATGTTTGAGTAATATCGCTTTATTAGTCTGTCTACATCTCCAAAGCTCTAAATGCTCTGTTCCACCTTGTGATGTCATGAAGCAGTAGTTTTTAAGTTAACAGCTGCATTTTATCTACCTTTATTTGTTCAGTAAAGATCGGCCTAAATCATCCAATTGATTCTAGAGAAGGTGTTTGGAGCACTTCCTGTATTACTACATGACATCACAAGGTGGAACAGAGTGTTTTCGTGAGAGACGAACACAGCCTAACAATAATTGAAATATCGTGATATCATATCATCAAAGTTCTCACAATAATATCATGGACCATCACAATATACCAAATTACAAGTCTCTTTGCTTAAATTAACCATAAATTAAGAGTTATGGTGCAGCAATAGCTAAAAAAAACACAGAGGGAACTACATAGACCATGATCCTTTGCTCCATTTCAGTGCAGAATACATGAAGAAATATCAGTTCTAAGCACTTTTAAGTCTTAGTTCTTTAGATTAAGTCTTGTCAAGGCATTTTAAGACGAAAAGTATCATATTAACATCCACAAAATATCGCAAGAAATATCGTACTGTGAAATGTGTATCGTGAAAATATCATACAGAGAGATTTGGATATTGTTACATCCCTAATCGTGAGCCTCCACAACATATCGTGAGTAAATATCATACCGTGGGGTTCATACCGTGACGATATCGTACCATGAGACTGAAAAAAAACACAACTCCAGGCACGTTTGTGATGAAGTAATAATTAAGTATAATGTAGTAATGAGGTAATATTATAACATGGCTTAAAGCTCAAAGAGTCAAGTTTGCGTAATGTAAGACCTTTAAGCATGCAGTCATCTCTCCACTCTCCGTAAAATGAATGTTGACTTTAAATAAGTTTATGTTAATCTACTTAAAATTTCAACTTTTCAATTAACATAGAATTTCAATGTGACATAATCCATATCTTTAACGTCAACATTTCATTTTATAGTGTGTGTACGGAGTGTCTAAGATGCTTCTCCTTCAACTCTCACAGCTTTTACGACGTCTCACTTGCCTTTACAGTGTATATCCAAACATATGCATTTCAAAGGGCTGCAGTTAAAGTTGTATTTTTAGCCCGGCTCCAGTGGAAACCCTCAAAGAGTGGTTTTTGTATTTAATAGGGGCGTTGAAAAACCCCAGCTCCTTCTGATGTCTCTCTTCGACTTTCCCGTACGCTCCTTATAATTTTAAATGTCTTTTCAGTCTTTCGACAATCTGGCTGCCGATCCTGAGGGCTACGAGAATGAAAAAGCCGAGGTCCCAGGTGAGCCTCAGTGTCCAATCATATTTCCTTGTAATGTAATTGATAAGAACTGACGCTTTACAATGTATTTGGCGGTGGGTTTTGCCTTAAGGCGTCATTCACTGTAAAATGCACATATACACAGTGTTGGGGAGTAACAGATTACATGTACTGGAGTTACGTAATCAGAGTACAAATTATGAGTAACTGTATTCAGTTACAGTTACTGTTTCAGTGAGTGGTAATTGGATTACAGTTACTTTGTTGAAATAAATGGATTACAGGGCGGTAATTTTCAGTTTTCACATTTTGGGATAAACCAGGACTAAACTAGAACTAAACCAGAACTAAACTAGGACTAAAACCAGGACTAAACTGGGACTAAACTAGGACTAAACCAGGACTGAAACCAAAACTAAACTAGGACTAAACCAGAACTAAACTAGGACTAAGTTAGAACTAAACCAGGACTAAAACCAGAACTAAACTGGGACTAAACTAGGACTAAACTAGGACTAAACCAGGACTAAAACCAGAACTAAACAAAAAAGCATGACAATATCAAGTAATCCAAAGTATTCAGATTATGTTACTCACTTTAAGTAATTTAATGGATTACGTTACAAACTACATTTTGGTGTGTGTAATCTGTAATCTGTAGGGGAATACATTTTAAAAGTCACCTTCCCAACACTGCATATACATTAGTAAATATACTTTGTTTTGAGCAGTTTACATACATGGAGTTAGCATGTGAAGACAATTTGACTAGTTTTAAGGTATTTCTGACTCATTTCTATTATTTGTTTCTCGTTCATGCATCTGCCAATACAAGAAAATTGCACAGTATAATTTAAATGTATTGATTTTATCTTTTTACGTGTATTTTAGTATACATAAAATAATCTTAAATATAATATAAAAAGATATACAAAATTAGGGATGCACCAATCCTGCTGTTTTAAATTCCTGTACTGATGCCAATGACGTGGCTTTCAAGGTGCATTGTGTAACTTTTGTGGTGGAGGGTCTGTCGAATTCTTTTCTCCATGGTGATAATATTGCACAGTCAGTGTTGGGGAGTAACAGATTACATGTACCAGAGTTACGTAATCAGAGTACAAATTATGAGTAACTGTATTCAATTACAGTTACTGTTTTAATGAGAGGTAATTGGATTACAGTTACTTTGTTGAAATAAGTGGATTACACGGCGGTATTTTCCTGTTTTCACATTTCGGGCTATATCCCTTTTTTTTTTTTTTTTTTTTTTTTTTCCAGTAATTCCACTCATTGCCGGACACTAAACCAGGTCCAAACCAGATCTAAACCAGGTCTAAACCAAGACTAAACCAAGACTAAACCAAGACTAAATTCAGGTCTAAACTGGGTCTAAACCAGGACTAAAACAGAATTTAACTGGACTAAATCATGCTGCATGGACCATGTTTCCTCCTCTTCTATCAATAATATTTTTAATTTGGTTAATTAAAGACTCGTCTTTTTTATTGTCTTTTAGCAGACAAAATATCTTATATAATGATGTCCTTGTCTTTGCTTCTCTACAGCAAATCAAGTAATCCAAAGTATTCAGATTACGTTACTCACTTTAAGTAATTTACTGGATTACGTTACAAACTACATTTTGGGGTATGTAATCTGTAATCTGTAGGGGAATACATTTTAAAAGTAACCTTCCCAACACTGTGCACAGTAGGGTATTACTATTACTCCTAGGTATTACTAGGGTATTACTTTTTTCATGGAGACCAAGCCAAATGAAGTTACAGGTCAGATCTGTGGTGAGGCAACCCCTGTCACAGTCAGAATACCCTGTTTTTCTAGGTATTTTTGAGCTATAAAACCACCTGTAATTGAACAAATGTAAAGTAGAGCTGTTACAGTGGGGCGCCAGTGGCAAAATCTGTTGTTGTGTCCTTAGGCAAGACATTTCACCCACATTGCCTAGTATGAAAGTGGAGTGTGTGTGAGTGATGGTGGCCGATGACGCAGATTGGCAGCCCCGCTTCCGTCAGTCTGTCCCAGGGCAGCTTTGGCTACAGTAGTAGTTTACCACCACCAAGTGTGGAGTGAATGAACAGTTAACTGTAAATCGCTTCGGTATCTTGAAAGGCGCTATATAAATGCAATGGTTCATAATGATAATGATAATTAATGAATGTCATTCAGTGGAACATTCCAGGCAAAGCAAAAACATCTCCATGGAGACAAGCAGGTCATGGATGCTCCACCAGAAATCTTGCGCAATGCACCTTTAAGTGTCTGCTGCTGTGACAGGCAAAACTGATCCAAAGATATTATTTATTGCTCGAGTAACCACTGAACAACTTTGTATAGAAGTTCAAACATTATGAGTCTTTCTTGGCAAACATGAGAAAGTAAATTGTCTTATTACATTAAATTATTTTCCCAACCAGTCTGAACCTGATATATATCGACTGAACCGATATTTGTAAGCCGATGTCCGGTTCATCCGATTTTTCTGGATCTGGGCTGATATTCAATACCAGTGACCAGAGGTGGGGACATGCAAGTCGTGACTTGGACTTGAGTCAGACTTGAATCACTTTTTTTAGGACTTGAGACTTGTCTTGATAAAATGGACTAAGACTTGGGACTCGACTTGGACTTGAAGGTCAGTGACTTGGGACTTGACTCAGACTTGAGGCCTGTGACTTGAGAAGCACTTTTAAATCTGAATTCTTTCTATTCTGACTGTAATGATTCACTCTAAGATCTCGTCAAGACATTTAAAACGGTAAAATGAACTAAATTAATTTCTACAACTCTTATATACTCTATAAATACTCATATATAAATGTACTATGATTTTTTATGTACAGTTTATCTTAAAATTCACATAAATCGCAAAAATCTAAGCTATATTTGGTCATTTGGTTTACAGACTTGAAATGACTTGAAGCTCAAAGCAGACGACTTGGACTTGACTTGGACTTATGGGCCAGTGACTCGAGACTCGACTTGGACTTGCCTGTATTTGACTTGGGACTTGACTTGGACTTGAGGTCAAAGACTTATTGAGACTTATTTGAGAATTGCAAAACAACGACTTGGTCCCACCTCTGCCAGAAACAGATCGGTGCTTGTTTTGAAAATATCAGTAAAGAGAAATTGAAAAACAGAGACTATATAGACCTACCAACTAAATAAACTATTCAGAACTTGGCACATATTAGGAGTAACCTTAAATGCCCTTTTTGCCGTATTCCCTGTAATAAGTATTAATTGCGGCATTCATTTCGTGGTTGCCTCATAGCTTAAGGGAGCCGCCAGTGTCATTTTAGTTTTAGCGTGTGATTTAGGTTTGGCGCTCCTGGTTGCCCGAGGAACATTACTAAATCACGTACAAAAAAAAAAATCTGACTGAACTGTGCTGGCAGATATAACATTTCAGCTGAGGAGCAATAAAAAACCTGTATTTTAACTGTGAGCAGGGTCTACTCTCCATAGATCTGAACTGTCCCTAGGCTTGGTGCTGCTACTTGTTTTTGTCGACAGGGATGAATGAATGAAGTTAAATGTCATAATGTGGAATATTCAAGGTAAAGAAATGACAAGCAGGTGGCCAACCCTCAGAGAAGTTACATAATGAACCTCTAAGAAAAATAAAATATATACTAGAAGTTTTTTTTAATCTACACCTACCAACCGTAAACGTAAGATCATTTCTAGATAATATTAGGATTTAAAGGTCCTATATTATGCAAAACTGGACTCAAGTAAGCAAAAACAAACCTGGAGTTGTGTTTTGTTTCCTTTATTATCAGTCTATCTACACCTCTAAAGCTCAAAATGCTCTGTTTAGTGGTAATTTTAAGGTTAACAGCGTTTTTTTTTTAGCCACAATTCAGCTTCTTTACTCTTCATTACTCTTTAAGTTGCTGCTTTTATTTTGCTATTTTGCTTTTTGCTTAACCTTTACAGTATTAGCTGTGGCTTCAAAGTTAGACAAATGACATGAGTGTTTTCAGTTTGAGAAAATAACACAGTCTAAATACGCAGGGTTTGTGAGTTAAACATATGACCGAAACAAAACACAACTCAGGTTTGTAATTTCTGATGAGGAAACATTATAACATAGAGTAGTCTTTTTGGTTGGGGGTCCGTCACCATCTTGTTTCTATAAAGATGTCATTTCTATGCCTGGAATGTTCCACAATATTTACCTGTACTGACCAAGTAAACGTAAGATAGCCAACTAGATAAGAATTAGGAATTAAAGGTTCTATATTACTCAAAACAAGTGAGCTTTGAGCCATGTTATAATACTCTTTATCTCCTCAAAAGCTTACGTGGAGTTGTGTTTTGTTTCATTTACACATTTGAGTAACCCTTTATTATTACTCTATCTACATCTCCAAAGCTCAAAATGCTCTGTGCCACCTTGTGATGTCATTTAATGGTCGTTTTAAGGCTATTTTTTTACCCTTCATTTCTGTTTAAGTTGGTGCTTTTATTTTTTTATGTTTTTGTTTTATCTTTACAACATTAGACAAATGACATCACAAGGAGGAACAGAGTGTTTTCAGTTTGAGAAATAGTACTGCCTAAATACGCAAGGTTTGTGTGTTAGTTATGACATTAAACAGCTCTAGCTTACATGTATTCAATTACAAATGGTTTTATAATTGAAAAATACCTAGAAAAATAAACGGGCATTCTGACTGTGAGCGAGGGAGCGTTGGTTGATCCAGCTCACTGGGGTTAAGTAATGTTTAATTAACAAGAATCTAAAAGGGTAAATTAACAAAACATGTTCAATATGTACATAAAATAACCTAAACTAGAAAACAAAATAAGAGGATTAACATATAACGACTTTTGTGCCAAAAACGAGTCATGTAGGCTTTTCCAAAAAATGAATGACTAAACTAACGGACACGCAACAAAACTAAATCACAAGTGTCCCAAAGTAAAATCTCATAAACCCACAAACAGAATCGAGTGGCAAGACAAAACAGAACTAAACTAAACTAAAC